AACGTTACCTCGAGGAGGCCTTCGAACTCGCTCGTATACATCTCGCACACGCTTTCCAACGCCAACAGCGTCACTATAACCTCCGGCGACGAACCTGGAAGCCAAGAATCGGGGAATGGGTGTGGAAACGCGAATTCCCCCTCTCGAATAAAGCCGCGGGTTTTAACGCCAAACTCGCGCCGAAATTCCGGGGTCCCCTCGAGGTACGTCGCATAATCTCGCCGGTGATCTTCGACCTGCGTGACCGTAGCGGACGATGGGTGCGTAACATCCACGTCCAGGACCTGAAACCTGACCCACCCGCTCAATCGCCGTCAACAGGAAGCGACCGAGACGGGACCGACGTCACAGACGACGGGGCAAACACCGACGAAGACTCAGCAGAAAGCGAAGGGGGGGAATCCGGGGAGGAATAAACACACCTCAAATACCGCAAAACAAGGCACTGCTACCCGGATAGAAAATAGCCACACGCATAGAGAAGAAAATCAGGAGACAGCAAACCCGGGTTCAAGACCCACCAGGAAACTCGCAGAAAAAAAAGAGAGAAAAAAAAAGGAGGGGAGAATAAAATAATACAACAAAGGGGGATCCACACAGACCTACCAGGGCCACACCTCAGCAACCGGCCACCGGCCACACACGGGCCATGGATCCCGACAACATCATCGCCGAGATCGACGCCCTCCTCACCGGCGTTGAGGAATACGATCCAGAGCGACCAGAGATGACGCTCGGAGCAGGCAAAGAGGGGAAACGGAGCGAGGGAACAGGGCCACCACCACAGCCCCCACGCCGAACCGTACCCACGGTGGGCTGTATGATACAGCGCTCGAGCCGGCAACAGCAGAAGAAGCTAGCTTGGCTTACGACGACGCCACCTCCAGTACCAAGGCCACTACGGACGCCGCCCGAGCCACCACGACCCACACTCACGCCCGCACGGGTTATGGGACCGCTGCCACCAACCCCCATCCCGGTCGAAGTCGAATCAGGACACGTCATTGAAGTGCCGCATTTCTCCGCGCACGTATCCAGGCAATGGAAGACGCGCTCAAGGGGGAAAAGATGGCACGTCCGCTTCAACGCGGATGGTTCAGTACGGCGGATACGGCAAATCCTACCACCCACCGGATAGCCTGTGCCTCAAAATTCAGGCACTATAAAAGGGGGGAGTAATGTAACGATGCACCCCCTGCAAAGAACAGCATCGTTCCTGCCAACCACCCTCTGGCAGGGACCGGGCGCGG